TTAAGAAATTTATAAATTAAAATACACTTTTAATATATAATTAAAACTATAAAACATGAATTTAATTTAAAAATATAAATTTATTAATTTTAATTAATTTTTATATACTTCTATTAATTTTAATTAACATTTTATATATTTTAGATAATAAAAAGACAACAAGATTTATAACAAAAGCAGAACACAATTAAAGTGATTTCAAATCAAATCTTATTGTATGTCTAATTTGAGAGAAGGGAAGGAAAAAAGAGCAATTTTTTTTATTTAATTACTAAAAAATTTAGAGTAAAGGAGAGGAAAATAGAATGATACGGTATTCCCTAATACCAAACCTACCCCAAGGCTTTAATTTTCAGTAATAGGCCTGCTAATCTCAACACTTGCATTTGCATAAATTTTTGGAAAAAAATGGTTGGTAACTTGGCATCTACTTAAAATCACAAAAAAAAAGAAAAAAAGAAAAAAAGAGAAGAAGAGATAAAAAGAAAAGAAAAAAAGAAAAAAGCAACAACAACAGCAGCAGCAGCAGCGATTTGGTATCTATTTCTTTTCAACAAACCCAGAACACATGCCATATTGAAGCCATGAGCAGCAATACGGAGCGTCCAGACTAAAAACAGACTCGTCTCGTTTTATGTGTATGCATCTGCTGTTTTCTTACAAACTCCATTGCAAATGAATTCATTTCTCATTTAAATAACATTTTTCTACAATTTGTATGAATGAAATGCAAGAATACTTGCAAGCGAAACAATGGAAAGCAACAACCATGCCGCGGAGGCATACAAAATTGATTTAGCAATTAATCAATGTAGAATCTAATTAAGCCATCATTTATTCACACAAGCTACAAAAGCACGGCCAATAACTGCAACTTCTTGTGGTTTTCCTCTAAGCACCAGGGCCTGTTAGACCTGCGCGAACTCTCAGAATTTCAGTTCTCTTGCTTCTCTCCATTACCTCCACCAGCCATTCCAAACCTTCTTTAATCCCCATACTGCAGTCAAAGTTCAAATGTGATCAACGTATGTCTAGTGTTTTTGCTACTCTCATGTTATGAGAAGTGAAGGAAAAAGTAAAACAGGATAATTACCATTGCAACACTAATATGAAGTTTGCATGCACAAACTTACCCATTATAAGCTGAAATAGCTTCAAACATGTATACCCTTTCATCCAATTTCTTAAGATCTAGATATCTTGCAAGTTCTTCGGCTGACACAGCTTCTGAACGATCCTGTTTGAAAGGATAGTGTTGAGAGAGTGAGCAGTCACTTCAAATCTCAAAAAATCAACATCCCACTGCATCTCATTATGAATTAACCAAAAGCAGAAACATTGCTTAAAAGCATCAATACAATTTAAATTAACGACTAAAAAAAAGAAAAAAGGAAAAAAAGAGAGCATAATCAAAATAGGAGAAGCTCCTTCAAGAATGCCATAAAATCAGATTCAAGCCAAAAGGCAGAAATTATAAAAGAATAAATATGTGAGTGATATCTGGTGCATAATATGCATGTATTAGTTAGGACAAAAAACAGGTGAAATTTCATATTTAACTTCAAATACAGGCAGCTAGGTTGTGGATATTGCAGATCAGAACCAAGATGTTACCTGTTTGTTTGCTAATATCAGAAGAGGAGCTCCTTGCAAATCCTCATGTCGAAGAACCTTTTCTGGATATAAAAAGAATGCAGTAGCAAGTTGTTATTGCCATTCCCAAATCCCAGAACTATGAAAATATAGTCAGCATCATGCATTTTAACAGCCTAGATCCGTAACTTATGCGGTTAAAAACAATCACCAGCTGCTTAGCACCCACCAAAAAAAAAAAAAATGACAACAACAATTACCAAGTGCAGACTTTGAATCTTCAAAACGAGAAGGGCATGCAGCATCAATTACATATATCACAGCATGTGCTTCCTCATAATATTTCTCCCATATCGAGCGAAGACCCAGCTGCAAAGGCAAAAAAATCTTTCATCAAAACTTCAGCATCAGATATAAGCGTCAAGAATCATAAAAGAACAAACACCAGTAATTAAGCTGCCACATAAGCAAAGACCTTCACACATCTATAGTGTTCTCTAGTTAAGGTAAAACATGGCACCTCATAAAGAACCCATGATTATTCATAATTCCATATTGCATAACCACTAGCAGTTTAACATCATAAACTGTAACAAAAGGATAAGAGAACCTTGCCAGATGCAGTAAACATATTTAAAGTTTAATAATAAAGAAAACTCAAGAACATCCAGGACCAGTTTCCCAAACTGAAGTAACCCATGGTTCAATCAGCAGCTATTATGGTTCATATAAAGGTAGAACAGAAGGCGCACTACAGCATAGGAATAATACATGAGAAAGCCATTGCTTTTAATTTAAAATGTATTTTGTGTTTGAAAAACATAATAGTTGTGCAGGAAAATATGAAAAATCTCCATTTAACCAAAAGCATGATTAACTTAGTTTAACAAGAAATTACAAGAGAAGCCTGGAAGACGCGAATATAAAAACATGTACGATCACAATCACTGCCATGCCCATGATGTAAAAAAACAGTTTATGAAGCTTATTAGATATGACTAGGAGATCAAACTAGTATGACCAATAAAATTGATGAATTTACATGCTTGTTTTAACACACCTGACCTCCCAGGTCCCAGAATGCAAGCTTTGTATTTGCTACTTCAATTCGACCAATGTTGAGTCCCACAGTTGGAACAATTCGATCAGGGGGTAGACCTTCCAAGCTTGAGTATAATGATTTCAACTTCTCCAGCAGAGTCTAAATCCACAACAAAATGAATAGGAAGGGAAATTTTAGACACTACTCCTACATAATTACATAGATGAAGCCTAGGTACAAAAAAGTTCACCAACTATCGACCAAGAGAAAACAAGATTACTTCAAATCTATGAAACTTCAACATTGACTTAAAAGAAAAAGATCAGTAAGCATTACCGTTTTCCCAGACTTGTCAATTCCAAGAATGAGCACATGAAGCTCTGTCTTACTGAACAGGTACTTCCAAAGTCCATAAAAGAGTGAGAACATCTCCGTGCTGTTTGATGTATTCTATTATCTATTTCTCTGAACTTCAACAGCAAAAACAATGACGCCTTAGGATCATCATTTACAATGCTGGAATATGTAAACAAGAAAATTTAATTAAACAGTAAAAGAGATAAGTCACTTTCAAGTAACTAAACACAGTTCAAACAACCCCAAGAACTGTCCAATCTGACTCCATAGCAGTATACAACCAAACCATAAATCACAACTGACTGACACCATATGGCAACCCATAATATGGAACACTCAGATTCATGCTCAAGTTATTTACTTTACATCTGATTTAAGTTGCTAAAGCTTCCAACATGTCTATCTTCACAAAATTATTTCGAAATCACTGCTGCTGCCACCACCACAAAATCTAAATTCTTAAGATGAACGAATTTTCCCTCTGAAAATCAATGTTATCCAGCATCTTACAGCCTTCCAATGATTCATTCCAAATTCAATCAACAAGAAAAGATTCATTCTTCATCCCTTTAGATTTCACATACAAAAATCAAACCAAAATTCAACAATAACAAGATAATAGAAGATCTGATCGGGTAGTTGCATGAGATCTCGATCTCAAAAACCACAATAAATTTGTCAAATCATATACATTTTGCAGCAGCATTAAAAATCAAAATCCAGGATAAAAACTCTTGAGATTAAATGAGAGGTCTGAGCCGAAGAAACAACAAATTGACAACAGAAAAACAGAGAAAGCAAAATTTTCAAGAAATGGAAACTTACTCCAGATTGAAATTTGAAGAGCTCTGGCTGATCCTCGTGTTGAGGCCTGAAGAAATAAGAGCTGCTTCTGCAACGAAGGAAAATTAGACACATTTCCTCCCCGTCCTCAAATCCCCGACATTTCATTTTCCATCAATGCCCTCATGCCAGATTCAGGATTTCCTTACGTGGCATGATCTCCGTGATCGATGCCGCTGTATAACGCCGCGAGATCCTGGTTTCACTCGGTATTACCTATTTATCCAAGGGTATAATCGGAAACAAAAAAGTGGTTAAAGAATAACAGAGTGGAAAGACGCACTTCTTTCTTTTCTTGCAATCGAGTCCAAAACAGGAAGGTACGAATTTCTTCATCCTCACCTCCTCAGTCCTTTCTGCTTTCATGGAAAGAGAAGGAAATGAAAATTTGTTAATTTTTATTATTTATTTGTGTTTTCCTCCATTTTCTCGAGAATCAAACGGTCCTTCAAGGATCTTGTTCCTAGGTTCTAGAATCAACATTTTGTTCCTTTCATCGCTTAGAAATCATAATCCATGTCGCCTGTAGCTTCTATTGTGTTAAATAGTTCCTGATTGTTTCATTAAAATGGATTATTATTATTATGATTCGCATTAATTTTGTTTTAATAGTAGCATATGTTCTGCACCATTTGATTCATTTGATTTTCTTTTTCCTACAGCTTTAAGAGAATAATGCCTCCGAAAATTGTCTTTGTTGCATCTGGTTTGTTGGTGAAGAAGTTTGATTTCTGATTTATGTTTGTCATCTGTACTGATGGAGCATGTTTTTGGATTTTCTGCATCTTGGGATGGTTGCTTCTGCCTTTTGAGGTTTAATTTTGTCCATGTATCACTCTCATGATTTACATAAGTAACAGTCAATCCAGGATTTATTGTGGTATACATGCATTCGTGCATACAGATATTCTGTAAAGCAGCAATGGATTTCATTTTCTTTCCTCAATTTGATATTTTGTCGTTGTTGTTGGTTTTTTTGTTCTTTTTTTTTTTAACTGCTGTTTTTTTGATTGGTTCTAATGGTATTTCCTTGGTTCAGGTGAATTTGGAGCTTTCTGCTGGGATTCGAAGGGCATAACAAGTTTTGCAGAATGAAGTAATTCCCATTAGATTCTATGAACGTTATTTCCTTCTCTTCTTTTTGGATATATGGGGGAACAGTCAATCAGATTGTTGGTTAGCTTGTATGTTTTTTTTGAGTACAACAAGAAGCAGCAACTATATGCAAATAAAGATCTCATAAGATTTGTTTTCCTTTTGTTTCTAGTCTGTGAATCATTTGCTAGTGAGGTATTTTAGTTTTCCCTTGTGGGTGTTACTTTTGATCTGATTTGTGTGGTTGATAGGGGTAATGGTAGGCGTGTAAGATGGAATGAGGAAAACCTGGGAGAAATTGAAGCAAATAAACCTGTAAGGCAGAAAATTACTGAACCCAAGACACCATATCACCCCATGATTGAGGATGATGGTATGTTTTATTGTATTTTATCTCCCCTTTTTTTGAAGCTAGTGAATGTGTATTTACTTGTCATACAATATCTCTTTTTCCACTGGTAGACGTGCCCATTAGCTGATCATGTAATCTAAATCTTGTTTGTTATTTCAGGGTCTTTATCTCCTGTACATCGTAGCTTCAATGATTGTATTGGTGATTCCATGGATGCCGAGGAATTATCCAATGCTTTGAATGATGTAGCATCCTCAAGTGGAAAAACTACAGGACAATCTGGTGGCTGGACATCATCTGAAGATGAGGCTGACCCTGTGGAACGTGAAGATGAAGGTGCTTCTTTTAACCACTGCTTTTTAGTTGGCTATTCCATATCAATATAATAATTATGATTTCCTATTTTCCTTCCTTTACTTATGATAGCCCTTTCTGATGACTTCTTTATCTCTTTGCTCCTAGTATCCTTCTTGATATCATAAGTGTCAGTATTAGCTGCTTTAGAGGAGAGTAATGTTTGAGAAAAATGAACCTTTTAGAAGTGTGCTAGGCATGCAGCTTTTATGCATGAGGGTTACACTCTAGTTTTGAATTTTTTTATGTATCAGAAAGATTCCAAGAATTGTCAAAGTTCCATGATATTTACCTTGTATTTGTTTGTTGGAAGACGAGAAATGTCAAATATCATGAACCGTATATTGGTAAGAAGTTTTCTTCCTCATCATTCATGGGACTTCTTGACTAATTTTTATGTTCTGAATTTTTTATGCTGCTTTTGGTTGGTATTTTATTGATTA